AGTTTTTGCAGGTGTGGAAGGTATGGCAGGAGCATCCCCTGGCAGGAGGGAGAGAAGTAGTGTTAGGAAGTATGTCCTATATCATTTCATAGAACCTGCTTAAACACCTTTCAAAATAATTTTTCCTCATCTACCCTAATACTGGCACAAAGGGACAGCTCTAAGCCACAAGCTAAGCAAAAGGAGAGGTTCAAGTTCCCTGGTTATATTCCAGTCCTTTGATCTGACTTCGAGAAATGGGACCCAGTCAGGTTGGTGGGTCAGAGAAGAATCTGGACACAGAAACGGAATAATTCCATGATGTAGTAGATGTCATCATTGCCCATGGCAAAGTAGAACAGATTCAAAAAGGATTTTACAATTGCTCAAAGTACTCTTAGAAGTAAGAAACATTTTTTGACACAGAAAAGATTTCCAAAGAGCACCCTGAAGGATCGAGACAAAGATCAAAGAACATACCCAATACATGAGAACTCACATTACATTGGTATCAGTGATTTCCTCAAGCTATCTGATGGTTGCAGCAACTATAGCCACAAGTTGTTTTATTCTTTATTGCTATTCACTGACTTCTCATCTTTATAAAAATTTGTAAAAGAAGGCTAGAACAGTTTTGCAAGACACTTCACAAAAAATATAGCAGTACTCACAGTAAAACGGAGCAAGATCAACAATTGAAATAAATATAGAGCTCCACAAAGGACCTCACTTTTATGAATCTACAATTAATGTTTGTTATCTGAAATTTATGATTTTTGCATTTTCCCAGGTATGTATTCTGATTTATTTAAAGACTGAGCCATGGGGCCTCACCTAAGAAAAAAGACCTTCATTAAATATAATCAAATTAAACCTCAATTTTTCTTCTCATCAAAGTCCTATATGATCAATATAATGCAACCAAGATCTTTTCAGAGAACAAGCAAAACAAATTCCATGATTTATATCTCATTTGTGACTATAGGCAGATCAAGAAGATCTACTTTTACCTTGCTCTATCATGGAAAGATTGGCAGCCTTTATCACTGAAAATATCACATGTAGGTACTCTTGTTTTGCTTCTTCAAAGTAACTTAATTACATTAACAACAAGAACAAAAAATTGCTGATATTTTAGCTTTTAATATAAAATAAAACAGGAAAGATGCTCAAAAGGTAATTAAACAATAAGCATATTTAAGGAACCTTTATTTGATGCAAACAACAATTCAGTAATTTGAAGAACAAAAAAGGTTTAATCTTTTTCTTTTCTGTCCATTGGCAGTATTACCATGAAGCAAAAATAAATTGCAACTTTCAAGTAAATAGTTTAAATTTTCTTACACAAAAACAGTCACCTAAAATGGTTGAAAATGTTGAGCAACAGAAAAGTTTATTTACCAGAAACAAATGTGAGGCTTTCCCTTATTTGTATTTTGCCAAATTTACCCTTTATCTAGAAGAAAATTCAAACCAAAAATTTTGATCACATATTTCTGCATATATGCCAAGAAATAACCTCCATATTAAATACTTATACACATGAACAGGTCAGCATTGCATATTGTAATATTGGACAAATTGCTGGCCCACATTTTTACATGTTGCAGTGCATTGTTGCAAAAATAATTTATGCAAAGTAGCTTTAACTTTTCCCAGAAATAAGAGGAACCTGATCGATCATCCAAGCCCATGAACCAAAGGCAGTTTCAGACTTTCAATAAATTACTCTGACAAATTAGGTAATAAATTTTTTCACTTACACGTGTCAAAGTAATTTTTCAATAGTGAACTAATTAAACAATGCACTCCTAATTCTGCAAACAAAACATATTTCAGGTGAACCAAAATACATTGAAATTACTAGATTTGGTCAAGTTTACTGTTGCTTCTAAGAACTAGATGTGCAACAAGTAAATTTCGCTCTTATTATCAAGAGAAGACTTAAGAACAACTGTGGGAGCAAGATTCAAATTATTTACCTTAGTGGCATACACAAAAATAGGAAATAACTCAAGCAGCTTCCAGGCAAAGCATTGTGCTGAAAATGTCTCCTATTGTACTGGTAACAGATCAACACAAGAAAGGACCCCAGTGTGCAACTGCTGCATTCCTGCTGTCTACTGATATCAGTTTATCCAACATCTACCAATAGTAGCTTATCCAACATCTACTTTTGAAAAACTAACATCAAAGCCAAAGGCCCCAGAGAGTATGTACAATGCCCACACATCCCAACACACTTTTTGGAATAGAATAGATGCACCATACCTAAAAAAATCCCTGTAAGTAGGAACAAACTTGTTACTTGTATATATATATATTTATGCCTCAAATGTTTTTCAAACTATGAACTTGTTCAGTCCAGAAAGGAGAAAAAAAAATAATTAGGACTAAATGAACAAACTGTATATTAAAATGGATCCTCTGCAAACCCAACATATCTTCTAATAAACCCAACATATACTTCTAATGCCACAAGGGACAGCCAGCTCCTCTTCTAGACTAGTTAAGTTGAAAAGAGGTAGTCACCAATATCTCAGGAAAGAGGAAAACCAAGAAAAATGTAGAATTCTCATGAAAGTGATGTTTATTCTACAAATCACTTAAATTTTGAGTTTAGGAGAATCTTTAAAGACTTCAGCTGTAAACCATTAAATATATCCTTTACTTCTCTGAAATGTGGCATAATTTACTAGAGAACTTCAGAGAAAGTTCTAACATGCTTGATCCATAAGGTAGGGTATGCACATGCAAGATGCCTAATGAGTTATTACTCTGGCCTTCCCACATGCAAATGCAGTTGCTACCAAGAACTCTAAGATAGTGATTCCAAATTTCAGATTTGTGGAATTACGGACTTTCACAATGGTTATCTTTACAAAAGGACAATATGTAGTAAGCAAGCTGAGTTCCAGGAAATATACTTTTACTCTCGTTACTTCCTTGGAGAACAGTTGCTTGCCCCACTGATGTCAGTGAGTACAACAGTATGCCTGTTTCAGCATCAAGAGATTGTTATTTTAGAAATAAATTTGAGTATAACTCCAAAGTTTTCTTGATGAGTTAATATCCATAAGCTATATTTCTCAAAGATTTGTCAATTTTGTCTTTGTAGAAGCTCTATAGATAAAGGATTTAAGCAAAAAAATTATACTCCTTTTTTGTCTAGTTTTCAGCTGCACCAAAAGGTATTAGTGAGTAGCTCAGCTGTGCTGCCCAGAAGACTGTGAGAAGCATCAGAAGTTTGCTCACTGAGCCAATACAATCTGGATACAGCTTTTCATCCTGGAATACTCCCTTTCTTGTCACTCCTATCTAAAAGATGAGACCTAACTGATTACTCTGCTTCACAAGTGAGACTTTTCAGCAGTACTAGAACTCAAAGATGGACCATTACATTACACAAATGCCATGGAATTTTACACTGCTACAAAAAAGTCTATTTCAGAGACATTTTAGAAAGCATATATGCACTGTATATGGCTCATAGGGCTCTAAAAATTACCAATTTTCTGCACATAGATTTGTGTGAATTCAAAGTCTATCCTTATGAGCTGAATTCCATCAGAAAGTTTTCAGTATTCCTTATGAAGAACATAAAAGTTTCATCAGAAATCTTTAGACTAATCTGACAACAAGGATGCGATAATTTTATGTCTGACTCTAGATACCTATTATTGTTAGAAATGGAAATTTTGCCTGTCCTGAATATCAAAAAGGGAGAGGGGAAATGTTCATATTTCCAGGATAAAGAGAAAATATTTAACAAGGAGGCTAATGTTTTACAAATAAGCAATACTCACGCTGAATTATGAAGTCTTTAAGGGTCAATACAATCAAGTTAGTAGATAGAGAACAGACATGTAAAAATAAATTCATCATACAGATATCAACTCTGTACCATACACATAAACATAGTTATACATTCACAAAGATGATTTCTACAACATTTCTTATCAGATCAACTTTGTAAGAAAACATTTCAATCTTGAATTAATGAGCAATGATATACATAGAACTGCATTCATAAATAATCCTGTATACAGCTGAAATCCTCTCTCCTGCCACTTTATATGCCTATTTTTGAGACATGACAGCTCTATAAAAATAACTACATAAGAAATCTAAAAGCTTTAAATGCTAAACAATAAAAAAGAAAAGAACCCTGACCAGTCAGTAGCATTGATTTCACAATGTGAAATTATCTACTACAGTCTGAAGCCAAAGAAACCAAAATTATAGCACCAAGAATAAAAAAGTGTTAAATCTGCAGAAGAGACAATCAAATATCAAACCTACAATCTATTATGAATAAATTCCTGTTCATATTATTAATTTGAAAATGACAGTCCATTGTTTACCAGTTCCTTTCCTCTTTCTGCATACACTGGACCATAGAGACAAAGCTATGTGAATTCTCCTAAAGATAGAACTTTTTAATAAGCTTATTTTCTCACAGCCTAAAGTGTGGAGGCTTCCCAACAGAGTTGTATTTATACTGTAAAAGAGGCAGATGGGGCTTTGTAACTGCCTTTTTATTTCATCATGTCAAAATATCCCTTGGAAAAAACAAATTTCATTTCCAAATAAAAATATAAAAGAATCTTGGGGCTTGTATACATAGCATTTCACACCACTTCAGCTACAGCAATTTAGTTACAGTAGTACCATTCCCTTATACAGACACACCTAATCATTCATACAGAAGTTATGTTCAACTAGATAAACTACCAGATTAAACTAATGTAACTGACGTACAGCTTAAGACTATTTAAGTGTTCCCACATTAGGAACTTGCATTGGAATAAACAAATCATTTTAGTTACACTGTAGCAAGATTTCCAATAACCACAATCCCATAGACAAATTTCAATATGTTCCCCAAAATCACCATATAAGCAAGCCTATAAACTAACTATCAAATGTTTGCATTTAATTTCTAACCACAGGAGTAGCAAATATAAAAGAACAGGAGTATACAAGATATAATGCAATTAACATTAAAAAAAAAGTCTTACCTTTATTAGATTTGGATGACTTGTTCTTGTTAGGTTTAAAACAAGAGCCCCTTGATTTATCTTCTCTATCCTTAATAAATTTCTGCACATCATCCAATGAAAGCTTTTGAAGGACAACTACAGGCTTAGCTCCTTTATTTAGGTCTTCAACTAGCCCAATCTTCTCTACTTTATCCTGTTCACCTTTAAATTCAGTTTTCCTTGATTCCTGAGTGACATTGACATCTTTATCACGCTTGATTTTTGGAATGACAAAATGTTTCAATGCGCCAGATCTTGCCCCCAACAAATAACTAGGAAACTCTGCTTTATTGTCAGCATGTGCTTTATTACTATCTACTTTACTCTTATTACCATCTGTCCTTCGTTCATCCTTGCTGTTGGGTGATTTAAAACCAGGTCTATCAGGTCTTGATTTACTAGAATCTCCTCTACCTTCCTGTTTAATGCGAGGGCTGTCAGGTCTTGATTTCTGATCCCCAGAAGAAAACCTTTCCCTTGATTCACCAGACTCATGTCTATGTTTCCTTGCAAATTTCTCAGGTTTTGAACCATCAGATTTAATACCATGTTTAGAATCATGTTCATTTTTGTTTGAGGATCTCAAATATTCAGGCCTTCTGATCTTGGATGGATCTTCTCTGTATATCTCTGACTCCTCCCTGTCCTCAGATCTTTGTTTAAGGCTATCATGGTCATGCCTTGATGTATCCGAAACTGAATGCCCATCAGGCCTTTGTTTTGTTGAATCAGACCTACTTTCAGATTTTATCCTTGAAGAATCAGATTTCACATCTATTTTATGCCTAGGTATTTCTATTTTCTTATCTGATAATTGTTTACTTGAGTCCCTCCTGTTATCATGTCTATGTTTTGGTGTTTCGGGCCTGCCTTCATTCTTCTGTTTCGGTGTTTCGTGTCTCTGCCTTATTTCCTGTTTGCCATTATTTTGTTTTCCCTCATTTTGTTTCATCTCCATTTGCCTGCTCTGGTTTTGTTTTGATTCTGTTTGTCTGTTCTCATTGTGTTTCACTTCCATTTGTCTGCTTTCATGCTTGCTTTCACGTTTAACTTCTACCTGTTTCTTCTCGTTCTGTTTACTTTCCAACCGCCTGCTCACATTTTGCTGAAATTCCATTTGCCTGTTTTCATTTTGCTGGATATCTGTCTTTTGACCTCCAAAGTCTGATGTTTTCCTAAAAATCTCAGGATGGTTTTCAGGTTTAAATTTAAGAACTCCAACAGTGTCTTCTTGGGGAACACACACAAACCCATCATTATACTGCTTAATTTCTTCAGGTTTTTTGATGATGTCCAAATCCTGAGTTACTGTTGCCTGAGAGTCTGCTCTTCCTGCTTGCTGCAGATCAATACTAACCATCAATGCTGGCCTTGCCCCATTTCCTACAGAACCTGTCTCCTGAGAAGCTGCTCTATTTCCTCCAGTAGCACCTCCAACCTCCTGTGGTTTGTTTTCTTGTTTTCTCTTCTTCAGAGGCTTATCTACAAATTAAAAGAGAAAAATCACAAATGCTATATCTTAGAAACAGATAAATGTCCAAGCAAAAATGTCCATTCCCCTCAACCCCCACCAATTAATCCTCCTTCACATGTATGTGCACACAAACAACAAAACTCAATTAATTTAAAAGCAAGAATAGAATTTTTCTAATACTTTTTAATGTATTCAGGCTATCATTTGTTGTCAATCTACCACACATGCCAATTAACCATTAAAAAACACCATCAAAACATATGAAATCAGTCCCTGTAAAATTCCCAAGAGAACCATCTAATAAAGAAGCTGCAAAAATGACCAAAAAATATCAATTTACAGTTGAAGCAAGTTTTGAGGAATACTACTATAAAAGATTCTCTTTTGAAGATTCAGCCTGCTTCATTATACATGAACTAAGCGAGGATCTGCAATGATTAAGACAGAGGTTCTCCCTACTTGATTCAGTTGGACTTCACAGATATTGTACCCAGGGAACACACAAACAATGAACAAAAATGATTAAAATAAGTCCAACCCTCCATGTTTCTCTTTGAAGCAAGGAGTATATCAAGAGTATGAGACTATGCCATATCACATGTATTAAATGGGGAGCCACTACACACTTAAAAGCTTGAGTATTTTCCCCTTGAAACCATAGTGCTTTTCATGGATGAAATAAAAAGTTCAGAGATAATTTTATATAGTGCCAAAAGCTTGACTCTATAATAATCCATTCAGTTTACATTTTTTAAAAAAACATTAAGAGTAGAATACAGAAAAATAGAAAGTGAGCTAACCACCTCCCCCATAATTTGTTAGAATTCATAGAAATGAGAAGCACATGAAAATATCAAAAAGAGTATGTTCTATTAATTTAAAATACAACCTATTTGTATTACTAACATGATACTCTAAAACAAAATTAATTTCTCCCATGAAATTCAAAAGCCCTACCTGCACTAAGGCTTATATTCTCATTTCTCAGCTATCATTTTGTAATTTGTCAATAACAAAAAATATTTTCTCTGTAATCGGGGAATATGATTTTAAGTCTAAGTAATGACCAAACACAGGTTGAAAATTCTGTCAAAATGTCTAGACCACAAATGCAATATAAGAAAAATAACTTATTTGATGCTTAGAATTGTGGTGCCTTATCACCAGATGCAATGAGCCAGCTCTCCTTTTGGGAGCAGGAGAAAGGTAAGGAGGATGCAATCAAGGAAGAGGGAATTAAACTCCTAACAAAAAACAAAACCTCAACCTCTCAAATTGTAAACCAGAATTATAACTATGACTTCTAATTTCCTCAATACTTGTAGAAGATTCTGATTCAGAAGAATTAAAATTTTAAAGGATCATCTCCAAAATTAACATTAGAACACAGTAACAAGTAGTAAGATGGTCAATTCCAGTGATGTGAACAGGTTTGTGGGGTTTTTTCCGTCATTTAAATTCTCAAATCTGTTTGTATATCTCTAACTTCCTAAAACTCTAAAAGTACGTGCAACATTTAATGATTGGAACAGTAAAGACAAATACAATAAACTCCACAGAGAAACTGGTCAACTGTAAATAAGGAACTTTTTAAAGTAGGAAGGTCTACCAATCTTATGATAGACGTGAATCAAAATAAATTTGATTAATTGAAGGTGCAGCTTTTTAGCATGATGCTTTTTGCTTTTTCTGTACAACAACAAAAACTGTTGGATTCATATGAAAGCTTATACAGATTAACTTCCCTACACTACTTATTAAAACAAATGGTTTTTTATTTTGAAACCTTCATACAGTGACAAAGATTATTTTTCTCTGTGTGACTAAGAGGGCTTTGACCTCACCGAGCTTCATAGCAGGTCTTAGGATTGACCATGAGGAAGAAGCTTCCAGACTGAGACATTTCAAATTTGATTACGTTTGAAATAAAACATACACCTTAATATACATACACACACATATCACTACCTTATTTCTCCATTAAAACTCTTGAAATTTTGAAACACAATTTGAGAAACTTGTGTTCTTAGGAAAAAGTCAGTCAGCTTTTTCATTTTAACCCAGAAATGTCAGCCACACTGAAAAAGTCCTGTAAAGCTCTGATGGTAGATCTAGCTTTTAAGACATTACTGTTACCAGTTATCTGCCCTGTTCCTTTAACTGAGGTTATCACCTGTAGCAGAAGGGAACCCACATTCACATTTCTACAAGAGTGTTTCATTGTCCAGTTGTAGTGGGTTTCTGTGGCTAGGTTTTGGTAGCAGGAGGGCTACAGGGGTGGCTTCTATTAGAAGCTGCTAGAAGCTTCCCCTGTCTGGTGGAGCCAATGCCAGCCGGCTCCAGGACAGGCTTCCTGCCACTGACCAAGGCCAAGCCAATCAGGAGTAATAGTAACGCCTCTGTGATAACATATTTAAGAACAGAAAGGTATTGCACAGAAAGAATTCCAGTCAGGGAAGAGCGGAGTGAGAACATGGGAACAACAAGGTAGACACCAAGGTCAGTGCAGAAGGAGGGGGAGAAGGTGCTCCAGGTGCCAGAGTTGAGGCTCCTGCAGCCCATGGTGAAGACCATGGTGAGGAAGACTGTCCCCCTGCAGCCTGTGAAGGACCATCGGGGTGCAGAGACCCACCTGCAGCCCATGGAGAAGCCCATGCTGGAGCAGGTGGATGCATGAAGGAGGTTGTGACCCCATGGGAGGCCCAAGATGGAGCAGGGTCCTACTGGGGACCTACAGCCCATGGAGAAAGGAGCCCACGCTGCAGCAGGCTTTTCCCAGATAGGACTTGTGGTCCCTGTGGGGGACCCACGCTGGTACAGCTCATTGATGAAGGACTGCACCCCATGGAGAAGTGACCCACGGGACAGCAGTTTTGTCAAGAACTGTTGCCTGTGGGATGGACTCACGCTGGAGACGTCCATCAAGGACTGACTCCCATGGGAGGGACCCCATGGGAGCAGGGGAAGGACTCCTCTCTCTGAGCAGTGGCAGGAACAACAACTGGCCATAACCCCCATTCCTCGTCCCCCTGTACCGCTGGGGGGGAGGAGGGAGAACTTGGAAGGAAGGAGGGATGGGAGGAAGGTGTTTTTAAGATTATTTTACTTCTCACTCTTTTACTCCGACCCCGTCAGTAATAAATTCAATTAATATCCCCACTTTGAGTCTGTTTTGTCAGTGATGGTGATCAGTAAGTGAACCTCTCCCAGCTCTTATCTCAACTCATGAATCCTTCACTGTTTTTTTTCTCTGTCCAGTTGCAGAGGGGAGTGAGAGAGCGGCTGTAGTGAGTACCTGGCATTCAACCAGGGTCAGCCCACTACACCAGTGCATCAGATTATGGCACGAGTGAAGATGGTTTGCATTAACCTCCCAGACTGAACAAGCCAGCTAAGAGCCAAGCAAATGTTTCCTTCTGCTATCCCTACTATAGGAGCAAGGCAAATGGGCAGGAGATGTAATGCTTTAAACTGATGTAGCTGGATCAATCAAAACTCACCTCCAAGATTAAACAAGCAAAACAATTCAAGTATGATCAGTTTTCTCTCTTGAACTTCCACGGGCTCAAAATGCTGCTCTTCATCATCATCAGAAATGTCAAATTGTAAGTTGAGAACATATAAATAGATGATCGCATCACAACTTGGCACATTCCCTCTAAATACAGAGCTCTTTTGTTTCTCTTGATAACTGAGTACTGATGTTTAGTAAGTTATAACCACAACCTGTTGATATCTTATCTGAGAAGAAAGGGATATATCCAAAGTTTTCTTTTCCTTAATGGCAAGGTGATTGTAGATGGAGTTATAGATTATTCACAGATTTCTTGATATTTCCAGTGAATCTGGAGGGCAGTCCTCAGAACTAGACTTGATCATTACAGTTTTGCCTCTATGAGATTTCTGGATCTAGGGTCCTGGTCAATGGCAAGTTGAACATGAGTCAGCAGTGCCCTGGTAACCAGGAGGGCCAACCATGTCTTGGGGTGCCTTAGGCACAGCATCACTAGGGATTGTCCCGCTCTGTTCTGCAGATATTCACCTTGAATATTGTGTGAAGTTTTGGGCACGACAATATAAGAAAGATATTAAGCCATTAGAGAGTGTCCAAAGGAGGGCAACAAAGATGAAGGGACTTGAGGGGAAGCCGTAGGGGGAATGGCTGAGGGCACTTGGTCTGTTCAGTCTGGAGGAGACTGAGGGGAGACCTCATTGCAGTCTACAACTTCCTCATGAGGGGAAGAGGAGGGGCAGGTACTGATTTCTTCTCTCTCTGTGGGGATCAGTGACAGTACCCGAGGCAATGGCCTGAAGTGTCAGGGGAGATTTAAGTTTGATATTAGAAAAAGGTTCTTTCCCCAGAGGGTGGTTGGGCACTGGAACAGGCTCCCCAGGGAAGTGGTCATAGCACCAAGCCTGACAGAGCTCAGGAAGCATTTGGACAATGCTCTCAGGCATGTGGTGGGATTGTTGGGGTGTCCTGCACAGGGCCGAGAGTTGGACTCGATGGTCCTGATGGGTCCCTTCCAACTCAGCATATTCTACAAAAATATCTGGTTGAACTAGTGCATTAAAGATAGGATGAGTACATAGTACCACTATCCTCATTGAGCATAATGGAAAAATTCCACTGAATGGGGACAAAAACGTTTTTGTTTGCCATCATAGCTGCAGACATATGAAAGGTGAAAACTACCACTGGGCTTCAAGGGCTTTATCAAATTTTGAACTCACTTTGAACTATATGAGAATAATCAATAAAATATCAGAGAAGTAAGGAAAGAGTAATTAACCTCTGAAAACAGATGTCTTCAAGTCTTCTCTTTTACAATCAAATATATGCAAGTTTGCATAAATCTGCCTTGTTAAGACATGAGTCCCAAGACCTCATAGGGTCTTAAGGAACAGATGAACTTAGGAACTTTACAATATGCATTCAAATATACTTAATAATCTTCAAGGCATCAGTATCCAAGCTTATTCCACTTCATTCCATAGATGATAGAAT